AGTCAAAAGTACATTGGACTTAGTTTAACATTCAGTAGTTAATAACTACTAAACCTTCACGAAACTTGGTCATAAATGAAATGTGCTTAGAAGCTAGAACTATAGCTGCAGTCATTATTGCACTCACAGATGACCGATGGTGCCCGAGATATTTATGGATTTATCGCATCAGGCGTTTTCCCACAAGAAACTACTCATTTCACATGTAGTGTTAAACACAGGCTTGTGTGAGATTGAGGAAACAGAGGAAAGTTCTATGTTCTGCTCTGTAGGCACGAAGCACGCGGATGAATTCAAGTCGTCATCAGTCATCTTGATCCACGCGCATTATGGAGTTCTTTGGATGTAAGCGCACGAAACTCACACACCTTGATTAAAAATGAAGATAAAAGCCCAACACTTTCATTTGGATACAAACGTTTAAAAAGAATGTATCGTTACTTTTATGTAAAGAACTTTCTTTCTTCGGAACAACAATCAAATATATAATAAAGTTTTTGAGATGCATATTGCTCAGATACCGTTTTCTTAATTTTTTATAAATCTAAGACCTGATGTTTATCCTTTCGACTAGTCTAATGTAATAGAGCAAAGTATAAATTATATTTTAATATATTTTAGAAAGTTTTGTTTTTAGCGCGAGGTGCACAATGGGTTATTTGCACCATGTTCACTTCAGGGATTGAACCCTGAACTCTAGCATTATAAGTCATCAAAGTGGTCAGTGAACCACCAGAATACTTCTTATAACACCGTAAACGTTAAGTGTGTTTTTCTATCAAATAAAATGTCCGTACTTTTGGTGCGAAGAAAAAAAAAGGAAGAAACTCAATCAAATTGGAGATGTTATATTTCAGGTATTTCTTAATGGATTGTCTTGATATTTGGTATGTGAAGTAAGAGTCTACTAGAGCACATCCAATGAAAATATGTGATCGTTTGGATTACCGCAGTCTGAGATACAGAAGGTGGAAAATCATTAAACTATCACAGAAGGTTGTTTTGGCCGCAACGACACTCTACCGTGTTTCTTCATTTACTTTACTAAAATAACCCGATTTTCCTGAAATAAAAATGCTATTTCTTTGTTGGATTTTATTAAAACTATATTGTACTTGTTGAGAATTTTTAGTGCTAATATTTTCTCTTTACTTATCTATAAAAGCTGATATTCTAAAGTATAGAATTAAACTGTTCCACTTTCTTAAGTGTTAATATTACTAAAACACTCTCTAGATTCCAGCCAGATAGACTGTTTGAAAGGTAACTGTAAAAACTATTCAACAGTTGGAAAATATTTGTAAAACTTTAATTTATCAGCTTTCGTAATAAATTTCAAACCATGAGCTAAAACTTTCTTTCCAAATTTCACTTGATGATTAATTTGAATAATTAAAAATTACAGCACCAGGATGTTTTATTAATGTATTTGAATGTAAATTTGAATTTTCACTCAAATGATTGAACGTCTTAATTAAACAAAAGTGAAAAGGTAATACAAATACTTTAAGTACTGGTGAAAAAATATATATAATAATTTCACTCATCTTTAAAAGCGCCTCTTAACGGCTTTTTAATGCACTATTACCTACGCTCCAGCTTTTCGTTGAAAATTGGTTACTTAACCCCGATTCTGCAGGTTCACATAATAAAGTAGATAAATCGAGCAGAAATTGAAAACAAAAATTAATTAATTAAACTCTCTCTCTCTCGTTGTTATTTGCGATGACTGTGTTTGGTGATGAAATCTCGGTCAAGCTTCTAAACAATACTTCTGCATTTCTCAGTAAATTAAAGTAACCAAATGTAACAGGAATGGTTAACTTAAATCTGATAATTTTTTAAATACTTAGAAATATAAAAATGACAGTAATTGTAACTTATAAAGAACTTAACTAAAAGTTCTAGAATTTCACTCAAGTAAACGTTTGCCTCGCTAATTTATATTCGGAGAGTGTAACAGTCGATTGGCCTGCCATCTGTCGTTTGCATAGAATAATTTTATGAAATATTTGAGCAGAATAATTAGTGAAACATCTATAATTTTGTTTAATTTTCTTTTATTTATACATAATTCATTTATCAAACGTACTCTATAATTACTTAAATAAACATTGTTTTCCGGTGTTGTCTAAAAATGGTGGACTTTTGACGAGCATTATTTAATCTGCTGGATGGATATATAGGAGCCAGTTAGTCACCCAAACACGTTTTGTATTTACTGTTAAGTTTAAAACATCTAAACAAAACAGTGAAATATATCTTAAAACACTTAACGTTACACTAATTTATCTTGTGTAATAATACGGACATAAAGTTTAGAAAGAAGTGTTTTGTTTTACGCTGCACTGGGTTTTGTCAGTGAAATATATACATATTTAACAAAAATAATGGAGTATTCCTTCCGACCATTATTAGTTTATGTTATATAATGATGAATAATCGTAAATTACGTTCAAAAAACCAAATGTTAGATTTTGTTCCCTTTATCCGAGGCGTAGTGTTGAATTTTAGCACGTGCTCCCTCCTGTCAGGTTAAAAGTACGTGTGTGAGGTGAGTGGCGAAATAGGAAACTGATTCCTCAGGAAAGTCATCTTTATACAACAGGAACGTTCTCTTATCTTTGGCGAGAGATGGTTAAAGAACACGAGCTGAGTACAAAAATATTGTAGCAACAAAATGTGTAGCATTTCGTATAAGACACCTAGATAGATCTCGTGATGATAAGTATATTTAGGTGTTCGTTGTTACTTCTTCTTATAGGCTTATGATAACATTTCAAGTAATTACGTTTTTTGTTTTAATTTCTCAGAGTGTTGTGTTTTAATATAACCGTAGATACATTTTTTTTTAGTTTGTCATTATATAATATATGTTATTATACACTATATATAGACATCTTTACAGTGTTGGATAACGTATGTTACTGTACAGTATATATATATATCTTTTAGACTGTTAGATAATGTATGTTACTGTACATATAAGCATCTCTTACAGTGTGAATAATGTATATTTTCACCATTATATATAAGCATCTCTTGAAAGAATGTTTCTCTGATGATTTCAAGAAGTTTAAAAGAAATCAAAAATAGTTTTCGAGTTATTAATTTTTATTCCTTGACATGGAAATCGATCGTTTATTGCAAAGATTTTCCATCCTTTTTACAAATATTTTTTCAAGCACTATTTCAACAGAAGAATTAATAATAATCCAAACTGGGAACAAACAACTGAAATGCGGTTAATCTGGATTATGAAGGATTAGAATTGTAGTTATCATATAATTCAAACTTTCTATCGCTAAGGGATTTTATATATATATTTTAAACCATAGTAACAGTGTTTTTAACTGCTGTAATTACTGTGTTGGAACGTCCAGGAGCGTGATTTCACAAAAATGTTGGGAGGGGGGGGGGGCAAATGTTCCGCCTGGATGGTGAACAGAAGGCGAGTGACGTAGTAGTACTCAGCAGTCATCAAGGTTAGTGACGTAGTAGTAAACATCACATCATCAAGGCTAATGACGTATTAGTACACATCACATCATCAAGGCTAATGACGTAGTAGTACACATCACGTCATCAAGGCTAGTGACATAGTAGTACATATCACATCATCAAGGCTAATGACGTAGTAGTACACATAACGTCATCAGGGCTAGTGACATAGTAGTACATATCACATCATCAAGGCTAATGACGTAGTAGTACACATAACGTCATCAGGGCTAGTGACATAGTAGTACAAATCACGTCATCAGGGCTAGTGACATAGTAGTACAAATCACGTCATCAAGGCTAATGACGTAGTAGTACACATCACGTCATCAAGGCTAGTGACGTAGTAATACACATCACGCCATCAGTTGTAAGAAAAAGTTCTGTCACTCACTTATTTGAAGCGCACATAAAAGTAACACTAGAATAATAATAACTTTGATTAATATTTTATGAGGTAATATTTCGATTTACCGTCTGATCGAGCATTACAAAAATAACGTTAAAATGAGCCAAAAAATCTTTAAAATCCATTAAACGAACCGCAACAAAATTATTTAATAAGTTAATGAAATGTCGTAAAATATGTAAAGCAATCAAAATGTTATGATTCCCATAAAGTACAACGTTCTGTTTTAAACGTAGTAATATTCAAAATACTTTTTTACCGCTTTCCAATCTAAGTAAATGACAGAATCTACACCTGTTGTTAACAATACGACACTCTAAGCCTCTCAGAGTTGGAATTGATTTTCATATTTCACGAGAGGCTTAGCCTTGGTCCCATTATAATCTTATACTTACTAATTCACCATAGAATACGTAAACAGTCGTGACATGTCGTTTAGATAAATACTTCTTCCGAAAAAGTATTGTCTCTCACGATGAATTAAATGTAAATAATTAGTTCTGATATTTAAAGTAAACAACACGAAGGGAAAGATCGTTTCTTTGATTTGTTTTTTTTTTGGCAAAACCTAAAGTGAATAGATAAATGGTAGAGTAAATGAAGACTGAATAGATTAATTTACCTTAGGTGGGTACAGCATGCTAGAGTTAGCTGAGGTGGATATGACTTGTTAAATTTGGCTGGGATGGGTGTAATATGTTAGATATATCTGGGGTAGGTACAGCATGCTAGAGTTAGCTGAGGTGGATATGACTTGTTAAATTTGGCTGGGATGGGTGTAATATGTTAGATATATCTGGGGTAGGTACAGCATGCTAGAGTTAGCTGAGGTGGATATGACATATTAAATTTGGCTGGGATGGGGGTAATATGTTAGATATATCTGGGTGGGTACAGCATGCTAGAGTTAGCTGAGGTGGATATGACTTGTTAAATTTGGCTGGGATGGGTGTAATATGTTAGATATATCTGGGGTAGGTACAACATGTTAGATGTAGTTGGGGGAGGTGTAGACTGTTAGGTTTAACCGAAGTTGGTTTAAACTGTTAGATTTAGTTGGAGTAGATGTGGTATGTTAGATTTAGCTGAGGTGGATATGACTTGTTAAATTTGGCTGGGATGGGTGTAATATGTTAGATATATCTGGGGTAGGTACAACATGTTAGATGTAACTGGGGAGGTGTGGACTGTTAGGTTTAACCGAAGTTGGTTTAAACTGTTAGATTTAGTTGGAGTAGATGTAGTATGTTAGATTTAGCTGATGTGAATGTAGGCTGATAGGTTTATCTAGAATATATTCTTTCAGGTAACTTCAAACAACTACACGATGAGAAGTACTTTTCAGTGCTTAAAACATTGTACAGTTCAGTATACCATGGACAGAGTATCTGACGTTAAACAGGCCACATTAGGGTTAAGGAGCGTACAGAGAAAGAGCTTGAACAATTTTGGGATCATGACGGGATCCTTCCTTGAACTCTTCAATCGTTAGCCTGTTATCGTTGTTCTGTCAAAGAAGAGAAAATTGTGTAGGAAATAAAATAATCACAAAAAATATTTAAAGTTTCGAAAAGTGGCTAGAAATTTTTAACAGTCAGTCTGTTTTTTTGAAATTGTACTGAAAAATCAAACCAAACAAAGCAAATTTGTCTTGAAATTTCGAACAACCATATTCCCGTCAAGTTGTATTTCTCCTGTAATGTCATTTAAAAGTTTCAAAAGTTACTTATTTCAAAAGTATTTAATGTTAGTAATGATTAGAAATTTTAGAACGAATTTCCATTTGAAGGTGATGTCAAACAAATCTTCAAATGTTTAAAAATAATATAAACAAATGTTTTGCCTGTCAAAGTGAAGATTTGGTAAATCTTAAATCGTCACCCCCCAAAAAAATGGAAAGGGAATTTTTTCATAGATTTTTTTTTGAAGGTTTTGAAAGACTCACCTATACGAAGTATTAATTTAAGTATTTAGAGATATACAGTTTGCCATTTCTATAAAACCCATTTTGACCAAGTAATAAAGCATTGTATGACAATTCTTTTATCAGCCTAATTCAATAACGTATACTATAAATCAAGTTCTTAACGTTAATGACAGCTTTTAAATTAGATTAGTTCTAACTTATTAAAGACGTTATTCCGAATTTTTTATTAAGCAGTTATACAACCATACTGCTACCACGATGGCTGAACGGCAGCGGCTAATAATTGGGGTTCGATTCCCGTGAAGGGTACAACAATAAGCAGGATAAAGCTTAAAAATAACCAACAAAACAATCATTTATTGTTGGTTATTGTTTGTGTTTTTAGCGCAAAGTTACACAACGTCTTTAAAACCACTGGTATATCTTATAATGGTGTTGAGAAAAATAAACAAATATTAATTACAACGTCTTTAAAACCACTGGTATATCTTATAATGGTGTTGAGAAAAATAAACAAATATTAATTACAACGTCTTTAAAACCACTGGTATATCTTATAATGGTGTTGAGGAAAATAAACAAATATTAATTACAATCGTACTTCTTCATTGTTCTCCGCTAGACAACAAGTATTAAAAAATTAGACAGTTTTACCAGATCTTTTAATCATATAAAACACTTTGACTAAAATCTTTATTTAAAACTTCTCTGAAAAGAGAGGTAACGTCAGATATTATCAGTGCTTTCTCTGCTTTAATCAAACCACATTATATTCGATGTGTACCAAACTTGATCAGCACAGCTGTAAGAAGAAACAGTACAGAGAAAATAATAAAAATAAAACGTCTACTAAAACGAGTATTGTTCGAAATGTAACCATTGTCTAAAAAACAACAACAACAATATAACGAAAGTAATTACAAAACGTCTACCAAAACACACTTAGCTTTGTTATACGAGTATTGTTCGAAATGTAACCATTGTCTAAAAAACAACAACAATATAACGAAAGTAATTACAAAACGTCTACCAAAACGAGTATTGTTCGAAATGTAACCATTGTCTAAAAAACAACAACCATATAACGAAAGTAATTACAAAACGTCTACCAAAACAAACTTAGCTTTGTTATACGAGTATTGTTCGAAATGTAACCATTGTCTAAAAAACAACACCAATATAATGAAAGTAATTACAAAACGTCTACCAAAACGAACTTAGCTTTGTTATACGAGTATTGTTCGAAATGTAACCATTGTCTAAAAAACAACAACAATATAACGAAAGTAATTACAAAACGTCTACCAAAACGAACTTAGCTTTGTTATACGAGTATTGTTCGAAATGTAACCATTGTCTAAAAAACAACACCAATATAATGAAAGTAATTACAAAACGTCTTCCAAAACGAGTATTGTTCGAAATGTAACCATTGTCTAAAAAACAACAACAATATAACGAAAGTAATTACAAAACGTCTACCAAAACAAACTTAGCTTTGTTATACGAGTATTGTTCGAAATGTAACCGTTGTCTAAAAAACAACAACAATATAATGAAAGTAATTACAAAACGTCTACCAAAACAAACTTAGCTTTGTTATACGAGTATTGCTCGAAATGTAACTATTGTCAATGTTCAGTTTAATACTGTTGAGGTGGCTTTCACTAGAGAACTGTACCAGAGATTTAAATAAATATGTTTCAAAAATAACCTTCAATTTAGAATTCAACTTACATTAGCATAAATATTATCTTGCACGTCAATAAACATATGATACTAATATTATCTTACACGTCAATAAACATAAGGTAATAATATTATCTGAAATATTCAGGGTTACACATTATTTCAGAGTTAAAAAACAAGGTTAAGTATTCTCTTTCGACCCCTGATGACTCAATAGTAAGTTTGAGTGCTTATAACGCTAAAGGTAAGGTTTGATCCCTGCGGAGGGTAGAGCATAGACAGTTTTTTCTGCAACTTTGCGCTTAACAACAGAGTAATCTTCCTTTCTACAAAGTTAATAAGTCTACTTTATGGCCGCGTTCTTAGCCCTTACCTTCACATTACTATCTTATCCTACTTTCCGACCGAGTTCTTAGGCCTTACCTTCACATTACTATCTTAACCTACTTTCCAACCGAGTTCTTAGCCCTTACCTTCACATTACTACCTTATCCTACTTTCCGACCGCGTTCTTAGCCCTTACCTTCACATTACTATCTTAACCTACTTTCCGACCGCGTTCTTAGCCCTTACCTTCACATTACTATCTTAACCTACTTTCCGACCGCGTTCTTAGCCCTTACCTTCACATTACTATCTTATCCTACTTTCCAACCGAGTTCTTAGCCTAACCTTCACATTACTATCTTATCCTACTTCCTGACCGAGTTCTTAGCTTTTACATTCATATTACTATCTTATCCCACTTCCCAAGCTGTAAATTTCATGTTCTTTTGCGTTGTTTCCAGGTGGGTTGTGTAATCTATCTGTCTGTCCGTCCGACTATCAATCTATATATTCGTCCTTCTGTCTATCCACTATCTTCCTGCCTGTTCATCTATCTCTCGCTGTTCAAAGATACAATTCACTATGTATCTATCTAATATATTCAATACCTTATCAAGCTGTTCAAAGATACGATCCACTCGTCGTCTAGGAGACTCCTCTTCATCCTCTTCTCTTGCCTGCGACCCCTGAAGTAGATAAAGGATAGCTTTGAAGGTTTGAGCTATACAGCTTTAACATATAGGCCATAAATAAAAGAAAACAACCTCTATTCACCTCTGTTCTAAACAAGTTTGTTTTCTACATGATTATATGCAGTTTTAGAATCTCTTTCTTGGACAGAAAAAGAGTAACTGTGTAAATAACAAGAATTATGTTACTTTTAATTGTGAAAGTAACTTAACAAACTTATCTGTGGTATAATGTGACAGAAGTAAAAGTGAAATACATGTAAAAAAATAATACACATACAGTATATATAGTGAGACACGTTGCATTTATAGAAAAAGGAGTTCATATTAATAAAATTGATGGGGAAAATATCCAGGCTCCTAAGCCTACATTCGATACGAGATATGATTTATTGATTGACGTTACTAAAAATATTTTCTTATTCGTTTCAACAAGATTAAGATTAGAGAAAATTAGAAAATGCAGACAAACCTCACCAACATTTGGTAGATGGCATCGACTATGCTGTACATTTCCTCACGAGTTATAAAGCCGTCATCGTCAACGTCATACAACTTGAAGGCCCCTTGGAAATATACGAAAAACAGACGGTAACTTCTAAAGATACATTTATATGTAAATTAATTAGAAAGTCCAAGTTTTTAATGACCTTTGTCAGCATACTTAAACAGTCTAACTGCCACTCTTTACTGATATGTGTATATATTCAACACTGCGGCTGTTCATATATGTATATATACATATAATTATACAAACACAAAACTAGAAAATAAATCATCATCAAAAAATTCATGACCACAAACTACAAGAAAACAATAAGCTGAACTGGAATCGGTAAGGTCAACTACAAATAGATTGCAGAACAATTTAAAGGTATAATTCCAATAACATAATGTCGTGTGTTTAAACATCACCCATTGTTCAGGTGTTTTCTTCATTTTACCTGTGTTAAAAGATAAGTGTAATATTACCCTGCGGTGTTCTCCAACTGGCGTGGTTTTTATTCTCTGGTTGTCTTCTACTGCATGGTCTAGTTTATAGCTACCTTACAGGTATCCAACTAGCCTGGTTGTCTTCTACTGCATGGTCTAGTTTATAGTTACCTTACAAGTATCCAACTGGCCTGGTTGTCTTCTACTGCATGGTCTAGTTTATAGCTACCTTACAAGTAACCAACTGGCCTGGTTGTCTTCTACTGCATGGTCTAGTTTATAGCTACCTTACAAGTATCCAACTGGCCTGGTTGTCTTCTACTGCATGGTCTAGTTTATAGTTACCTTACAA